GGGGGGGGGGGGGGGGGAGGACACAACCTTTCTAATGGAAAAGGAGTTGCATTAAGCCTATTAACATCAGCCAAATGACGATCATCAATATTTAATCAGAAATATGGAAAGCTTCGGGAGCAAGTAAATTTAAATAACGCTCAGAGGGAAATCCAATCACTTAAGCAGAGGCACGCCAGCCGAGCGAAAGGGAAAGCCAGCGTTGACGAGAGGGGAAAACGACAGCTGTATTAATAAAGATTAAAGCGCTGCAAAGGGCCGAGCGGATCGGCGCCGTTAACCCCTTGCCCGGCTGCGCGGGCACCACCCGCGTGCAACATGTCCGCGTTTCCCGCCTTCGCCGGCAAGACCCGCTCAGCCTCGCCGCGTCCGAGATTTCGGCTGAGGGAGTGAATCCCGCCTGAAGGCGAGGCGCGGGCGGAGGGGGGGGCTTCCTTTTGCAGCTGCCAAGGCACCCCACCCTCCGCGGTTCCTTCCTGGGCTTGGGAGTTGCGCGCCCGGGAAAAGCGAGTTTGCAAAGAAGCCGGAGGGGAAGCGAGCGCGGAAGCGGCGGGCAATGGTGGCGGACCGGAGCGAGCGCGGCAGCCCTCCTCCTCCTCCTCTTCCCTGAGGAGGGGGGAAGATGACGGGCGGCGGCCTCCCCCCGGGGCTGCTGGCGCTGGGCGCCGTTTTGCTGTGGCAGCCTTGCCAAGGCAGCTGCGGCGCGCAGAAATGCGCCGCGCAGGAAAGCTGCTGCAGCTACGGCAACGCCACCTACGCGGAGACCAAGTGCTGCAAGCTGCCTTTCCACACGTTCCTGGACAACGTGGGTTGGTTCGTGCGGAAGCTCTCCGGGCTGCTCATCTTGCTGGTGCTTTTCGCCATCGGGTATTTCTTGCAGCGGATCATCTGCCCCAGCCCCCGCAGGCACGGGAGGCGACGCCGGCGCCCGGGGCAACGAGGCGAGGAGGAGGAGGAGGAAGACGAGGAAGAGGAGGAGGCGGATTACGACGATGACGACGCGGAAGAGCGGGACTCGCTTTCCCGCGTCAGCCCGCTGAATGGGACGGCCGCCACCTCGCAGGACTCGCTACTGGACAGCCGCGGCCGGGAGGCGTCCCTGCCACCCCCTCTTCTGCACGTCGTCTCGCCCGTCTTTTTGCAGCTGCCCAGCTACGAAGAGGTGAAATATTTGCCCACTTACGAGGAATCCATGCGGCTCCATCAACCTCTGGTTCTGCCCGTCACCAGCCTGGCCGCCGGGACGAGCAGAGGCCCCGCGGAGCCGGATCGCTCGGCCAGAGGCAGCTGAAGACCCTTCCCCCGCCTTTTCCCAGCGTCTCGCAGCTGGTGCGTTGCCGCCAAAATCGAAGGGACCGCGCCCTCGGCGTGGCCAAAGATCTGCCGCCGAAGCCCCTCTTTCTGTGGGGAGATAATTTAGGGAGGGGCGGTGGAAATAGCAAAGAAGGAAAAGGGAGGAGGACTGGAGGGTCTTCCTTGGTCCTCTCACCCCCTTTTTTTTTATTTTTGCGAAGTTGCACTCTTGAGATAAGCTCCTTTGTAGCAAAGTCGGATTCTGCCTCTGCCTGTGAAACACCGCCAGCCTTTTCACATTTGAGGTGCCTGATGGTAGTACAGGCATCATTTAAGTGCCAGTCTAAATATGTGACATATGCGTTCCAATTGGAGACATTCAAAAGTACGAGCTAGATTGGTTTGCTTTTTTTTATATACTCCTTCCCTGTATGGTGTGGATGTGCTCTGTACCTTCCTAATGCAAAATAAAATTCCAGGAAGGGAAGAGAGTGATTCTTTTACTTGGGGTAAATCCAGCTGGTTTAAATTTCTCTTTTCCTGAATTTTGCTTATGCCCATCAACAAGTAACAGGGAGAAATTTGCTTATGCCAAAACCATCAACATTGCTGGATGTGAGATGAGAGCATGAGGAGAAAGACACACGATCTTTGCACTTTTTCTTTTTTAAACACTTTGACATTATTAAGTTCAGAAAGATCTGGGGACTTTGGAGAGTGTAATGACTGGGAAGTCATTAAAAAGCTTTTTTAAATAACAAAAAAAACTCATTTGTCTTTTTTTTTGGTAGATGAGCATTATTAAAAGTTCATTTTATAGTTCAAATATTCATGACCACTGATTACCAATGATACATTAATTCCTAAGGTGCTTTTTCAAGAGACAACTGAACTTTCTAGTTTTTCTTTGAAGATGTTTTGCTTCTCATCCAAGAAGCTTCTGAAGCTTTGAAGAAATGTCTTCAAAGAAAAACCAGAAAGTCCAGTTGCCTCTTTAAAAAAGCATCTTTGGGACAGCCATGACCTGGATGACTGAGAATCCGCATAGACAATTATATACTAAGCCATCCTAATCTAACACTGTAGAACAATAAGAATGCAAGTTTTATTTGAGGGAGAGCCATAGATCAGTTTTTATTCATTTAGTTGCCTTTTTGGCCACAGCACTTTTTATACTGATATTACAGATAGGTTGCAGAATATACGTCACCTTTTAAATATTTTGTGCAGCTTAATATCTCTGTGTATAGCACCTCCCCCCCTTTCCATCTCATTACTATGCTTAAGTATCTCCTCTAACATTTCTCTCTGAACTCCCAAAGTTGTTTCTTTGCTATAAAAGAGAGTGAAAGATTTCTGATTGGCTCAAATGTTCATTTACTTTTTAAACAAATTCACCTTGGTTCTGTATGAAGGTTCTATGACACCTTCATAGAATTAGTGTTTGGCAGTCACCCATCTCCAGCTCATGAGGATATCTCAGCTGTCATTATTTTCTCCTTGGCCACCAAAGGGAAATATGGACTACTGCGCAATTGCAACCATTGCTGAGAGAACATTTGAGAAGTACTTTGACTATTTGATGTGCACTAAATTATTGAAAAGGATTAAGATTTGAGAAGTCACCTTGGTTAATAAACCATTTGCTTCTCCCCCCCCACCCTTTTCTGATCTATACCTGATTCATCAGGCTTATGATGATCACTTGGAATGGCAGTGATGGTACTTCATAGCATTAGGCACTTTTTATAATGCTGGAAATGGTAACCTTAACTCTGGATAATGTCATGCAAAATAGGAGATCTTGGTGGTGTTGACGGCCCGTAATAGGGGAGAGAGCGTATGTAATAAAGAGAAACCACAGCATAAACCACAGTTCCAAGTAGTTTCACTATAAGAATTCTCTTCTAAACAATCCCATTTACATTGGTTGGATTTATAACTGCACATAAGTTTAAGGGCCACCTCATTTAGTTATTTCGATGTGACTTACTTTAAAGTAAAGGTACGGAGCATTGGCTAAACATCTGTAGAAACCACCTGTTGCTGAAGACCAAGCTGTTGATAGCATCACAAGAGAGGATTAATAGTTATGTTTAAAACAATAGCAAAAACTCATACCATACCATAATCTGAATATTAATCCAATGTATTTTGAAGATGACTTATTGGAAGTATCAGAATTACAGAGGATACTTCTTATCTAGATATTCAAGTAAGTGGGAGCTCTAGTTTCGGAACACTTAAAAATTGGTGGAGGAAGATAAAGAACATTGCAGCTAGTGTAGTTATAGGGCCCCTCAATTGGCTTGTTTAATTGTGAACTTTTGCCATTAATACATGGAATTGATTTTGCTACACAGTAATAACAAAATTGGTTTTTACTAAGTGCTTAACTGCTGCTTGAAATGCTTAGCATTTAGGAACATTGCAACTGTACGGAGAAAATAACAGTACTTAGTGCTTTCTCTCCTTACCAATTCTTCACTTTAAATTCTTCTCTCTTAGCTGGGCTTTTATGTCTAAGCATCTGCAAGTAGTATGTGTTTGGACTTTGATTCTTTCTTCTATCTTTCAGCATGTTAATCATTAGTATTACAGAAAAGGCAAATATAAACTTACAAATATTTGAAAAACTAGCATTAATGAGAAGAAAAATAATTCTTTCACTCAGGATTCCAAAAAATAGTTTGAGGCTTCTTTGAATAGGATGAGTTTCACAACCAACCTAGTTAATAATATTTTGATTCTACTTGCTTAAACGGGAGCAAAGGAAGTCCTGGTTATGGTCTTCTACATGGCAGATAAACCTGCAGTTCGTTGTTGCTTGGCATTTCAATAATGTGACAACATAATTTGTATCCATAAGATGGGGATTCAAATTACATTACAGTGAATATAGTATATGTGGCTCCAGCATTATTTGGCCCATGGCTTCAGCAGGGTTGGAAATACAAACAAAACTCTGCATCAGAGAAAGCTCAAAAAGGTCTCATTCCAAATGTTCAGTTTGTGTAGATTACTCACTAAAGTTCACACGTCGGGGTTCTTCTGGTCATGTTACATACTGTAGTATAAATGTAGTATAAACTAGTAGTATTGAAAACACAAACTTTTACAAATGCAATTTGGACTTAACAGGGCTACAGCCAGATAGGAGATGAAAAAACCACACACAATTGCTGCAGAAGATCGTTCCTGATTTCTCCAAAGACTCCTAAGGAGACTGCAACTTCTTAGAAGATTATTATTATTATTTTATTTAGTACATACCTATAACTGTACCAATTCCTAAAGTCAGAAAAAAACCTGATATGGTTCACGGGAGCTATCTACGCATAACCTTTATTAAGTCTCAGTTGCGATATCATGACGCCATCCTCTAAATAGCTCTGCCACTTTCAAAAAGTATTGTATAAACTCACCCATCCACAGGGAAGCCAACCCTTGGAATTTTTTTGACGTGTTTTAATATTTGCAATTGGTTTATCTGTGCATGGCACATTTTTCTGGTATTTGGTTACAAAGTTTGCAAATACTTTTTTAAAAGCTGAGGGAAAAATCTACTGTACATCCATGCAGACAAACCCATCTGTGGATTAGCCAAATCTAATTTTTGGCACCTAACATCCTTGGTTTATCCACAAGTATGTACAGTAAGCTTTGTTATGATGGTGGTTTTCATCAAGGGCATTCATGCTTTAAATTAGTCATAGCCCAGCCATTGAAATCTTAAACATTTTAAGGGATCACTATCTCGGTATTCAAGATCTAATATCTGAAAAACATGCTTACATGGTATGATGAATCATAACTAGCCAACCATACTTTACTCTTACAAATTTAACCCAACCAATGTAGCCAGTTAAAGTTTCAGTGATTCGTGCTAAACTGGAAAACTGGATTGGAAAAAAAATCAGTTAATCAACGCTTTTTCTGCTATTAGGATACAGCCTTCGAAATCCAGAAGCTAAAGAAACTGATGTCCCAATAAATTGTAGCGATATTTTCTAGTATCACTTAAGGTAGTTTGTGTACAATTTCATATTTAAGATTATTTAATAACAAGACAGTGGATGACTCTGGGGAGGTGCTGAATTTGATGTTTCTATGTTAAGAAATACAGAGGGAAATTGGTGCCTATTTAATTAAATGAGGATGAAAAATCTGCTGCTAATGAATTTTTAGATTTTTCATGGCAAATAAGAAACTATTCATGGCCTACAAAAACTACTCATTTCAATTGCCCCAAATCCAGTGGTGGGCTGCTGCCGGTTCGGACCGGTTCAGATGATCAGCTGGCTCCACCCACCTGTCCCCGCCCTATCCTGTCCTGTATGTCCTTCTTTCTGGCTCATCTGATTAGAAGGTAAGCAGCTGAGCTTCAAATTGCTGTATTTTGAATACTAGGCGCAAAGTGGCATACGTACGCCAAGCGCGCAATCACCGAATCGGTTTTTAAACCGGTTGCAGCCCACCCCTGCACAAATCAGAGAGATACATTGCCAATAACCAGCTTGCTTACTTTGACAATTTCCTGCTCTGTCAATGTGAGCTTTGGGGCTTGACTTTCAACTTGAAGGCATAAGTAATACGTGAAAAGTTGAGGAGGATAGAATGAAAGCCTTTACTGTGGCTTCAGAACCACTTTTATCTGTCCAGAGGTAAAAGTAATAGCATGAACAAATATGAAGTTTGTGATTAAAACATTTCCTTTGTACTAAAAAAAAATCCCATTCTGGTTTAGCATCTCTTAGGAAGTGGCAAATTGGGTGTTCTTTGGAGTTGTAACTGTTCTTTGTCTTTAATGCTTAAATATATTCTCTGTAACTTTTCCTTAGGGTAAGCCCACTTAATAGTTAATGAGTGTTTTCTGGAAGATTATAAATGGCCGTTCACTTCCATTCTACTGCCTTTTTTCTCCACTGCAGTCTTATCAGTTACTTCCGCGGTTGTGGTTAGATAGAGCAGTACATTATTGTTTCTATAGCCTGAGTACCATTTTCCTCATGCTGCACTTATTAGATGAACCCATTTTAGAAGGCAATATACTTTTAAAAATTGAAGGATATGCTGGCATTTGAACATATATTCATTACTGGCTGCAAAAAAGCATACAGAAGAAAGTTGAAATGGTGTCCTTATTACTTTTTTTTCTTTTGGAAAAGAAAACATATTCTTCCAATCAAACACAGAAAGAGAAAGATGTAATCTATCTATTCTTTTATATATATAAAAATGGCTGTGTGTGTGTGTGTGTGT